AGTTGCAAGCCCCGGGAGCTGCGAAGGGGAGCCCCAGCCGAAACTGGAGCGCGTTGGCATAATGGGGGGCCTCGAGGTGTAGCGCGCGGTGCAGGGGCACCGCGTTTAACCAATCCCCCGCCCCATAACCCGACAGGGACAGCATCCGCTGCGTGTGGCCGTTGTGTGGGTTCAGGCTCATCCCCCTCGCCTCCTCTACCTGTACAGCGTACCGCTGTCCCTGGATAGCAGTGGCCAGCCCTTGCTGCAGCTTTCCTGCGGATGGGGCTGCTCTCTCTGCCTGCAAGGCTTCCTGCGCCGGCAGGGGAAGGTCCTCCTCGCATTCCGCCAACCACTCGGTCAAGGGGGAGGACGGGGAGTAGGGCCCGCGCATCAGCTCGCGTGTGGCCTCCAGTGGGCCGGTGCAGTCGTCGTGTAGGGAGTCAAGCAGCAGCTGAGCCTGCGTGTAGCTGGCGAGGAAGCTGTAGCCTCCTTCCCTCCACGGAGGGGTCCGTCAGCCCAAGGCCGCCGAGCGATACGGGGAGAGAGGCCTGCGCCCATGTGCGTGAAATTTCCTCTTCCCCCCGTGGGTGATTGATGTCGCAAGCCGTGAGCAACGTGTCCAGCAGTCGCCTCCCCCATTCGGACCACTCCTCCTTAGAGAGAGAAGGAAGGGAAGTCGTGCGGGCCAGGTAAGACGCGCGGCGCGAGACGCACCGAGACAGCAGCAGCCCCGCCAGCTGCGGCTCCATCCGCTCGATCAAACCTAGCGGCGCACCCATCATCTCCAGGCTGGATCGTACGAAGGCGGAGGTAGCCCCAGGGGTGCCGATGTAACTGCCCAGTACTTTCAATCCATCGCTGCTGAGCGGAACTCCCTCAGGTAGGTTATAATCCGCGGGCGACCTATTGGACCAAGCCCCACACTTGACGGGATTGTGCTTGAGCCCAATTTCAGCGAGGAGGCCCGTGAAGTGATCAAATGCAGCTGCACATGATGACGGTTCCCCTAAGAAGGTTACGTCATCTGCGTAAGCCAGGCAGATGACCTCCTGGTGTGCCTCCGCTGCTGCCTTCAGAGCTGGATGCATGGCCGCGGCAAAAAGGAGGGGGCCAAGGGGGTCCCCCTGGCGGACCCCAGTTTCGCTGAGCAACGGCGGGTGGTTAAAAGCTGCTTCCAGGTGCAGCTCGGATGGCCGGCCGTAAGAGAAGTTTACTAGAGGCAGCAACGGTTCTAGCTGAGAGCCCTTCAGAGCTGTCGCTATGGCGTGGCGATCCACGCTATTGAAAGCGTTAGCTATATCGGCTTGCAAGACTAGAGCGTCCTGGTTGGCCGAGGTGAATGTTTGAACCACGTGGATAACCGCTTCTGCTCCTCCCGGCACAGCTACTCCAAATTGTAAAGGTAAGAAAAATTCTCTGGCCGCTTCCGCTAGCTGGGTAAGTGCTGCTTTGGCTGCTAGCCGGAGGATGCATTCGCCAATGGCTATTGGCCTGGTCCCTCCGTCAGGCTTGTCGAGAGCTATCAGCCGTGATGCGGTAAGAAGTCCTGCCACCTCTGTGCGCAGCTTCCCGCGAAGGATCGTATTGACCAGCGCGTGTAAGTGTGAGCTGACTGCGGTGTGCATCAGTGAAGTTTCGCACAGGTGCTCGAACGTCAAGTTTGAGGGGCCTGCGCCGACCCCGTTCTCACATTTCGAGAGAAGTTTCAAGAAGGCTTCTCGCGATACTTCCAGGTAAGAGTCCGGCTCGGGCAGGGGCCACGGTGTGTCAGGCCGCTGGGCACTTGGGTGCTTGGCGCGTAGGGACTCCAGAACTTCTGGCGACGGCTTGCTGATTGGTGTGGCTTCAAGTGCCATGACAGCCCTCCTCAGACTGCCACGTCGCGCCAGTCCTTCAGCCCTGGAGATAACCCCCAGGTCATCCGACTGGTGTCTTGGGGGGGGGGGAAGGTCCAGCGAATCCACTGTTTCCTGGTAAAGGGATTCCCACTCCCCTCGCAGGAAATTTACGCAGTCTGCTCCTGGTCGCCTTCCAGTCAGGATGCTTCGGCGACTGCTGACGCAATGTCAGGCGAGCGACAAACAGCAAGACCGTCCAGGCTTGGATGGAATCAGGGTCGTCGGCGAGTCGCAGCAGAGGTGTCAGCAAAACCATCGCGAAAAGCAGTCGCAGTTTTTCCGAAAGGCGACGTGCCAGAGGTGCATTGCGACTATCGCGAAGCTTGTCCAGGTTCCAGGCACTCACGCTCGCGAAAAGCGTGTCATCTTTGGCGAGGGCTTCGGGCGATTTCTGGGGGGGTTGTGACTGCTGTAGGTTACCCCTCGCTGCAGTTCGTGGTGCAATCGCGGGTGTTTGTGTCGGGTTTCGTTGGGCGGGGTGGTTGGCTGTGGTGTCAGGGTTGTTGGGAGCAGTACGAGTCTGTGGGGATGGTCGCGGCTGGGTGGGGGTGCTGTTGAAATTTGTTGCCGCGCTTCGGGCGTGGGTTGAGTTGCCTCTCTGCCGGGCAGGAGTTTGTGACTGGGCCTCCTCCGAGGCGTTCGAACTTGAGTCCGCTACCTCCTCCGCCTCATAAATACTCCCCGAAAGAGCATCTGCCTCATTAGCTCTTTCTAGCACGGTTAAAGCCCTTCTCGCAGCCGCCTGGAACGCGTTCTCCGGACCGCCCTCACGCATACTCCGACCACGGCCACGACCTCCGGCACGACCACCGCGCATCCGCGCACCTGCCGTGGCCAGCATTGGACTTCCTCGACTAACTCCCTCCGCGTTCTGACGCGCCCGTGCGTCCTCGATCGCCTGCTGCCGACGCGTTCGCCGTAATGGCGACTGAAATGGAGAAGTCGGCGGTGGACCAGGGTCACACCGCCGAGAGCGTGATTGCTCCGCCTCCAGCCCCTGCTGCTGCAATTGCAAATCCCGCTGCTCCCGTTGCCCCCCAGGCTCCTCCTGCTGCTGTTGCGACGTCCGCAGCTCCGGTCCCGCTGGCTCCGGCTCCCCCGCCGAGCCTTCCGCTTGTTGTTCCCGCGTCCGCCGCGCCGGATCCCGTTGCGCAGCCAACGCTTGTGGCGCCCCCGCCTGTCCAAGCTGTCGCTGGTGGCACAGCGCCGGGGACAGCGGTGGGCGCCGACCCCGGCTCCGCTCACCTGGTTGCCCCTGCGGCTGCGCCGGCACATCCCGTCGCGCAGCAGCTCGCGGAGTCACAGTTACGCGGTGCCGTGGGGGGCATTGCGGCAGCGCATCGGGGGCGAGGTTCTCCTCGGCGTCGCCCCTCCTCGTCGTATCGCTCGGCGCACCGCGGTGGCCGCGGTGGCTGGTGGGGAGGTCACGGTCGCGGACGCGGTGGGCCGAGCGAGATGCAGCAGCTGCGGGAGGATTTCCCGGGAATGCTAGCTGCGGCGATGCGCAATGCTCTGAATGGCGCACCGCATCTTGGAAACTCTCTGGCTCCCGCCGCTCCTGCGCCCGCACCGGCTTCTGTGAATGTGCCAGCTCCGTCCGCGCCCCACACTGCTCCTGCGCCACATGCATCGGCGTACCCACCGGTTCCTGCTCCTGGCGGTGATCGTGCTCCGCCTGTCCCCTTGCGTCCTGTTTCTGCCGCCCCCTATCCCCCTCTGCCCTGGATTCCCCCTCTTCCGGACACGGGATTTGTGGGAGCGGGAGGCAGAGGGGCGAGGGGGGCCTTCGTTCCTCCGCGACAACTCGCTGATGTTCCATCGGCGCAGCCTCCTCCCCCTCTTCCTGTTCCGGCTGCGGTTCTGACCACTGGAGTGGCCGAAGTTCCCAGGGCGACTCTCGCCCAGATCTGGCGCTTGGTGGAGTGCCAGCAGGCCCTGACACTGATTCTGGTGAACTCCCATTTGCCATCCTCCAGAGCCCAGGGAGCACTCTCGGTCGTGGGGCGCGAGCAGATTGCTTGGCTGCGGCTGCGCAAATTGCCTTCCTCCTCCTACCCGTGCTGGCAGCGCCCGCGTTGGGAGGCGTTGCGGTCTCGCAGCTGGACGAGACGGTCCGGGGTCTGACTGCACACCTCCAGGCTGGTGGCGGGATTGAAGCAGTCGGCGCGACCGCGTTAGTGGTCCAGCAACTGTGGAGGACCATGCGTGGTATCCTCGCGGCGCTGGATGCCCATCTGATGTAGTGTCGGCCACACGCCGCACGTAGACTCGTTGCATGTTGGGTTCTAGCTGTTTAGACCGTTGGCCATTGTTGTCCTGAAGTGTATTCTTATTGTCTTCCCGGCTTTTCCTTGCCTCCAGAAAGCACGCAGCCGAAGGCCGCGCACGCGAGCGCTGGCGGCCGAAGGCCGGCGGCGCGAGCGCCTACGAAAAACTGAAACCAAATGAACTAATGAGGGAAAGGGGTCCCGAAGGGACTCTTATATAGCTAGGAGACTAGGGGCAGAGGCAGGAGGGCAGAGGCTAAGTCCTCTCTCTCTCTCTCTCTCGCTCTCTCCCGAGCGCCTACGAAAAACTGAAACCAAATGAACTAATGAGGGAAAGGGGTCCCGAAGGGACTCTTATATAGCTAGGAGACTAGGGGCAGAGGCAGGAGGGCAGAGGCTAAGTCCTCTCTCTCTCTCTCTCTCTCTCTCTCTCTCTCTCTCTCTCTCTCTCTCTCTCTCTCTCTCTCTCTCTCTCGAACGGTCCTTTCATTGATGTATATATTGGGGTACAGGTAATTGCAAGGCGGGCATGAGCTAAGCTATTGCGCGTGGGACTAACCATTCTGACCGTTCCATTCCCTGCCCTATCTAGTCCTCTCTCTCTCTCTCTCTCTCTCTCTCTCTCTCTCTCTCTCTCTCTCTCTCTCTCTCTCTCTCTCTCTCTCTCTCTCTCGAACGGTCCTTCGTATTAACATCAACATGGTACACCAGGTAAGACAGCATCCACACACAGCAAAGTCACGACAGCAATCAACTAACCTATCCTAACACAACTACAGCCACCCCTTCCCCTCCGGTTTAGTAGCCGGAGGGGTCTTCTATCAGCTGTTCGGCTCCATCTCCCGCGAGCTGTCTAGCAGCAGGGATAAGGCCTGCTGGAGTTTTGGGCCGCCTGCGGAACCTCGACCGCGTGTGTTGGCGCGTCCCTCCGCAAGTGAGCCTGTATGCCGCTTCGAGCGCGGACTGTCTCTCCCCCTTCGGGGAAGGCAGCGGCCGACCTTGCCTGAGTACTCGTGGGCACTTGCCCGGGTTGCGTCGAAGAACCCCCTTGGGCAGACGCGTCAGGAGCGTGGGCGTTCACCGCAGCGTCAGCAACCGCAGCAGCAGTCTCCTCGCCACCGCTCTCCGGAGCTCCGCGAGCTTCTTCACCGCGCGGCGGGCGATCAGCTGTCCCCTGCGCGCCAGCACTCCCCTCGGCACCATTCTCCCCGTGGTCGACCCGCCGGGCGTAGGGGACACGGTCAGCGCTCGCCGCGAGCGCGATCCCCCGCGCAACGATCTCCACGTCGGTCTTTGGCGAGGCGGGGCCGGGGGTCCCCCGGGCACCGCTGGGTAACAGGGCGTCGTGAGCCATCCCCGCCTCGTCCGCACTCAGCAGGAACCGGAGGGCGCCGTGGCCGGCGGGGTGGCTCAGGTCGCGGCGGTGGCGGCCGAGGTCAGGACTTCGCCGTTGAGCAGGCTGTGGGTGTGCTGGCAGCGGCGGTTGCGGCAGGCGCAGGAGGGCGGGGAGGGGGCGCATGTTCATATTGCTGTACCCAACGATCCCCCTCCCGTCCCGCGTGTAGACCTGGTGGCTCCGATGCGAGTGCCAACCCTGCGGGAGTATATGCCCACGCGTGTGGGGAGAGCGTCATTCCACACTCCGCGGCAAGCCCCTGGCTACGACACGTCGCCGTACTCGTTTGGTCGTGCCCCCGGCCAGTTGGCGGTGTTTCCGCGCGAAGCTCCGACTGTGCCTCCCCCCATCCGTTCGGGGAGAGACCCCATGCTGACCCTGTGCAGGATGCTGAATCTTGCGGAGGCGTGTGAGGTGGTGGTGAGCTTACAGATGGCGGCGTTGTGGGGCCATGCGTAACTCTCCGAGCAGTTACGCTCCAGGTCCCCGAGGATCGTGCGCGTGTTGGGCAGAAGCCCTTGTCCCGCTCTTGGCGCCCGTGTCGGAAGCGCCCGCCGGGGTAGCGCCCTTAGCGCGTACCTTCCCCCGCCACGTGGAGGAACTTGTTGTGGCGGCTCGCGACGGAACCCCGGTGCACACACTCCAGTCGTCGGCACAGCTCCTTTTTGCGGTGTCGGCGTGCATGCATTCGATGCTATAGGTGGAGGGGGCGGAGCCGTACACGTTGTAGGCCTCCGCCGCATGTAGTGTTGCATCTCGGTCCTCTAGGCGGTTCTCCTCTCCCTTGCTTGTTTTGTTTGTGTGTCTTCCTTTTGAATCGTTGATGTCGCTTAAATCCTTGTCACCTGGAGCGCGCGGCCGAAGGCCGTCGGCGCGAGCCGCCGAAAAGAACACACGAAATAATGACAGAACCTAGGAGCCAGCAGCCTTTAAATAGTCAGGGAGTGGTGAGGGAAAAGGGAAGAGGCTGAGGGAAGAACGCTAAGGTATCCCTCTCTCTCTCTCTCTCTCTCTCTCTCTCTCTCTCTCTCTCTCTCTCTCTCTCTCTCTCTCTCTCTCTCTCCCTCTCTTACTGCTGCCTCTGTTTTGAGGCATCTCAAAAGCCAACTCATTCCTTTCTCAGGCAGTACCTCTTCAATCATTTGAGGCTCCTAGAAAACTCAATGTCTTGGCTTGACCCTTGTCTGCCTTTCTCCCTTCCCTGCTGCCTCTGCCTCGCATGACATTTCATCCTTCCTTTGAGGCGCCTCAAAAGTCGCATGACATTTCATCCTTCTACTGCACGCACGCAGCTCACTGAGCCATGTCCGGTCCGGGCCTCGCATGACATTTCATCCTTCCTTGCTTCTGCTGTTGTTTCTGCTCTTGTTTCCGCTGCATACAGGGATTTATCCAACAACTCGCTCACTTTTTCCATTCCCGACGAAATTGGCGAAATGACGGAACTTACACACTTGTACACTCTCCCGTCCTCTTCCCTCCTCTTCTGCTCTTTTACTTCTCTGCTTGCTTCTCTCGCCCCCCCCTCCTCCCGACTGCTCGTGACTTCGTTCCCTTCACTTCCCTGTCTGTTGTACCATTTTCTTCCTTCAGTCCCCCTTCTTTTCGGAAAAAAAAAAATCCAACTTTGAGATATAGTCAGGCATTGTTTTAGGCGCCTCAGACAACAGCTTTTAAATATGATCAGTCGAGTAGAGGAGGCTGGGCTCGCCCACTCGGCTTGACTGACTCGCCCACTCAGCTTGACCGACTCGGCTACTAGACTAGATTTTGGTATTTTCCTTTGCCTGATGCCATAAGCCTACAGTTTGTATGTGTTTCTTTTGCTCCACCCTTTCGAAACGCAAAACAACAGCTTTCTGTTCCTTGCTGTTGCCTCTGCATTTGCTTGCTTCCTCTCAGGGATCTTTCAAGCAACTCGTTATCAGACACCATTCCTAGTGTTGGTGCTCTCTCAAAACTCACTCTCTTGTGAGTCGTGCACACAGGTGAGGTGAGGATGGGACGGTAAGAGCGGCGTAGGCAGGCGAGCTTAGTGTGAGACGACCATACATGTGCAATTGTTGAGTTGACTTATAAATAGGTAATTAGGTAAGAAGTTGATGTCACAGAATGCATTTGGTAAGTAAAGTCCATTTTGTAATACGCTAGTATGGTGTAGAAGGGGTTATGAGGACTGAAACGTGTTAGGGTGTGGAACTTCATTACAAGGAAAGGGTGGTAGTGTCAGAACTTAGGCTTAGAACTGATACATTAGTAGTGAGCTCAAAGCTCTTTAAGTACATCAGGAATGAGCAAGGTATGGATGAGGAGGGAATCAGGGGGCAATCCTAGGGAATCAAGGGTAATCCCAAGGCAATCTCCAATTGGTGGGTTGGAGATTGCTTGGAGATCACATTTGGGTTTGGTTGGGATGTGGGTGTACACCCAACCAAACACAAAGTGCAAACTACACTAATCTATGATATAAAAGTACAAGTACAAAAAGTGAGATTGAGGGCTAACACCCACAGGTAGTTGGGTAGCATGGAGGGTGACACGAAGTTGTTGGTTCAGGGACCTGCGAGGCGCGCCGAATGTGAACCCAAGGATCCTCAAGAGGCAGGGAATCACATCGGCCAGTGAGAAGTTTAAGTGGCCCAGATTCAGTTATTTTGCGTGGACAGGTGGTGGCTCGGCTGTGGGTCAATAAATTGCCTAGAGTAGCAGCACGCAACTTGTTCTCTCGTTAATTTGGCTAATATAGTGGATTTGCGTTGCCGATTTAATGCTACGCCACCTAGGTGACTAGGCCACTGAGGGCAGCCATTGTGTGGGAGGCTGAATCTCTCGGGGTAGTGGCTGAGACAGGAAGGGAACAGAAAGCACGCAAGGGGAGAAGAGGGATAAGTTTTGAGACGTCTCAAAACATCTCTTTATCACAAGGCAGAAGGGAGGTCAGCAAGGGTAAGTGCCAGGAGGAGGGAGCAAGGAAGTTTTCGGCAGTGAGTAGGTTAGTGTGTTAGCAGGTAAGTAGGTATGTCAGTCTCACATCCCACAACCTCGATCAAGTCAAATTGTCTCGATTTGAGCTGATAAAATTCTAACATTTCAAAGGCACATCCCATATCCTCCTTTCAATCACATTGTCTCATATCCCATACCCTGGCCTGAATCACAAATCTCACTCTCACACCCCATATCCTCGTTTGAAATACTTAGTCTCACATCTCACTCATGTTCTTGCTTCGTGGCACATCCAAATTCCAATACCCTCGTTTGATTTGAATCACATTGTCGCACATCCAATGCCCCCTTGTTTGAATCACAGACACCTCTATGGCAATGTTCTCTCCGGCCCAATCCCTAATGAAATTAGCTCGATGGCAAACCTAAATATACTGTGAGCGTTACATTTTCACTTTCCCCCCCCTTGCCTCTCGCCTCTTCTTCTTATTACCCTCCGAATCTTCATTCTACCCACATATATTGTTTCCCAAAAGCCTTTACTTCTCCATTAAGTTAGATTGTATTTCTATTGAATTCCAGATTAGTTCTCACCCCTGCTTTTCGTTGCCTCTCTGAGTGCTCTCTGATTTTATTCCTTATTCCTGCCCCCATTCCTGCCCCCGTTTCTGCCCTCCTTCTTGCTCTTTCATTCCGACATCTGTCAGCAACCCTGTTGTAATAAGTGTTGTCAGCTTGTCTCTTATGTTGATTCCTACTGCTCATCCATTCCCTTCTCACCTCCTCTTCGGTTCCCAATCTCCTTAAGAATTCAAAGACGTTCTGTTGTGCTATGATGGTTTTGACTCTTTGTTGACATCTGTGTTGCTGGCTGTGTTGCTGTCTTTGCATGATGCCTTTTTTACAGAGACATCTCCAGCAACCAGCTTTCATGAAGCATCCCTGCGAGTCTCAGTGGCCTGCGCAAGCTGAAGTCCTTGTGAGCACCACACCACACCGCGCACGCACAACCATAGAGTCTATAATTGAGCCACCTAATAAATGAGATAAGCTTTTAGGCAGCAACATTCCTGGTGCTAGCTTCAGTCTGCTCGCTGAGCGAAAGTTCATGTCCACACCACGCTCACACACTCTGGCAGAAAAGTCCATTTAAGTCTGCAGCTCTGAGTTGAAATCACTTTTGAGTTGAAATCACTTTTGAAATCATCGATATCTCAAAATGAATGATTTGAGCCAACTTAAAGCCATCTGGAGTTCATGTGAGCACCACCACGCACACCAGCATCGATGACACTAGAGATGACACTAGAGATGACACGATGCGGTTTCTTGGCACAATGAACTCAGCCTCTTCTAATCAATCACCAGCACTCGTGGTTGGCCGTACCTGTCCGTCCGTCTGTCCTGGAGCACCTTTTGAGACGACTTCTGAGGGTTTTCTAAAACTCTTGTCACCTTATATTCCCTTCCACAACCACCACAGGTATTTGTACGATAATTATCTCAGCAACTCTATTCCTTCTGGCCTTGGCTCGCTGACAAATCTGGAGGCCCTGTAAGCCCTCCCCTCTCTCCACCTCATCGTAAGCTCTCCCCTCTCCCCCACCCTTCGTAAGTCCTCCCCTTGTTCTCTACCCCTTATGGTTCCTTGTATTGTAAGTACATGCATGCATTATTCTAGAGAATCGTAAAAAAGGATTTATTCATCCAAGCACCTTGCATGTTTTGGCATATCAGAATTGCACGTAGGTATACTATTTGGCTGGGTTGCTTTTAAATGGTATTAAGCTGGTTCGTTCCCCTTCTTCTTCCTCTCTATCCATCTGATGTACCTCGCATCTGTTTAAGCTCTTATTCCTCTCCTTTCACCTCCTTTCCTTTCATCTCCTCTCCTCTCAGCTCCTCGCTGCTTATCGCTGCACCTCTCCTCTCCCCTCCTCTCTGTGCTTATCCGCACGTTGCCTTCCTCTCTGTGCTTATCCGCACGTTGCCTTCCTTCGCCCTCCCTCGACCTTTCTGTCCTTGCGTCACCACCTCGTTCTGCCTGTTAACCTGCCCGCCCATTCAATCTTCCAGTTACCTGCCCGTTCACCTGCCCTTTCACTGTCCCAGTGACCTGCGACAAAATGAGCTCACAGGGCCCATTCCCGATTCCATGAAGGACCTGACTGGGCTCACTTGGTTGTGAGTGTAATCATATCATTCAATATCCAATCATGTATTGTGTCGCTCCATGTCATCTATCTTCCAACCAGGTTTCACTGCTTATCTCTTGTTTTATTCGAATTTCAGCAAGTAGGAAACCTGGTTGGAAGAGTTAAAAGGGGAGTTGCTTTTGAGAATTCTCAGAAGAGTTGAAAGGGGAGTTGCTTTTGAGAATTCTCAGAAGAGTTGAAAGGGGAGTTGCTTTTGAGAATTCTCAGAAGAGTTGAAAGGGGAGTTGCTTTTGAGAATTCTCAGAAGAGTTGAAAGGGGAGTTGCTTTTGAGAATTCTCAGAAGAGTTGAAAGGGGAGTTGCTTTTGAGAATTCTCAGAAGAGTTGAAAGGGGAGTTGCTTTTGAGAATTCTCAGAAGAGTTGAAAGGGGAGTTGCAGGGAATTCTCAGACGGATCAGCCCCAAGGTCTCCAGTTGGTATAAGCGGGGGGTTTTGTGGAGCATCCAACTCAGAAATGATGTGGTCACAGCCACAAGAAAGGCCTTATCGAACAAAATTTTAGCTCATGTTCGGATCAGGGTC